TATTTTTATATAAAAAATCAAAAATACACGCTGTATATATATATTTTTTTACATACAACACAGCAAAAAACAAATGCATAAGTTTATATTTTTTTCTTTACTTCAAAAGTCTAAATAAATGAGATTAAATTATATTATACAGAGTGACCCAAAAACATTTGTTTTTCTTTAATTCAAAATTTATTTTTGGTAATGTAAAAATACCTACACTTTGTTTTTTTTTGTTGATACATTTATTTCAAAATATGACAATTTCAGTTGTAATTTTCGATATTTTTACTACAAAACACCCTGTACATGTTCCTGGTTCTAATCAAAAACGCCAAAATATTCGTAATGTATTTGAGCAAGAAAGTAAAACACATACAGGGTGATTACCTGGTACATTTAATTTTTTGTCTATTTTCATCGATTTAAAAAAAAACTAAATAATTTGAGTTTCATGAATTTTATTTCAATTCTTTAACATCTAAAAATAATAAAAATTTCTATCCAAATACAATCTCAAGTCCTCTCATTTCGATTTGGGATTTTCCTCTTTTTGATTCTTGACACAAACTGAAAAAAAATTAATCCAAATTAATCATGTGAAAATTAATCATGAAATTTGTTATTAGTACCTTTCGTAGATTTTTCCCATCCAATAAACGCCCCATTTTTCTGATTTTCATTTTCCAGCCATTTTTGCAACGGCTTAAAATACTCCAAGATGGCGCTAGCGTCCATTGTTTTATGCCCTGTCAAAACTTCCATCGCTTCATGCCATGGTTTCGATGACCCCAATTGGAGCATTTTCCTGAAAAAAAATTACAGTTGTTATTTTTTTATTTTTTTTTCACAATTCTTTGACAGACTTAAGGGCATTTCCAGCTTCAGTATTTTGATAGATATCACACTCGTGTAGGGGTTTGGAGGGATCATTGGGGTCGTACTGGCCGGCTTTTTCACAAACGGTTTTATGAAACTGGAACTGGATCACAAAACTTACAAAATATCTGAAACAGAAAAAAATTAGAAAAAAAAATTATTCCGGAGTGTGGTACCTAATGTAGGGCACACTGGCAACAATGTGGTACTTGGCCGCAGGATCAAAATCCCCCTCTGAGCGATTTACCGGTGGTTCCACCCCTTGGTACTTCTCCCTCAACTCCCACCACCTGCAATTGTACTCCTCTGGGGTGATTTTCCCTTCAAATACGTCCCATCGCCACAAATCCATCAAATACCCAAATGGAAGAAACACGATTTTGTCAAGTCCGATCTGAAACAGGCTATTTAGGACGTTTTCAGGATCGTCCTTTTCACTTTTCAGAAGTCCAATTTTCCGTAGATGTTTACGCGACTGTACTGAAAGTGCGATCAAATCCCCTACAGCCTCATGAAATCCTGAAAAAAAAACGTAATTTTTTGACATACTTTCAGGGATTTTGGTACCGCTATTGGCACCCTGTCTGAACGGTACTGGCTGGTTCTTGTACTGAATAAAGTACTCAATGTGTCCCATTTCGTGGTGGGCCGTTATGAAATGTTCCAAAGTGATTTCAGTACATTGTTTAATCCTGAAATCCTTGCGGTCGAAAAAATCCCAAGCGGAGGCATGACACACGATTTCCCGGTCATTCGGTTTGGTTAAAATCGATTTTTCCCAAAAAATTTCAGGCATTTCGGTTAGGTTAATGGACTTGAAGAAGTCTTCAGCTGTTTGAAAAATTTTCATAGCGGTGTAATTCTGAAAAACAATATTAAAATATTTCCCAAATTGACGGGAATAGTCAAGAGTGCTAGGAGAATATACCGATATATAAAAAATAAATGTTTTTGTACACACCCTGTATATTCAAATTAATAAATTCACGCTAGTATCGTCTTTCTCTCTCTAGCACGTACCTCACTTACCTGTTTCTTCAATTCGGAGGTAATATCATCATCCTTCTTCTCCGGGTAAGGCAGTGCAAACTCTGACACGGCTCTCCACCGTTGCGCCCACATATTCCCTAAAAATCCCTGATAAATCCCACTTAATCCCTGTCAAATCCCATTTGATCCCAGTCAAATCCCATTTAATCCCAGTCAAATCCCACTTAATCCCTCTCAAATCTCTGTTAAAACCCACTTAATCCCTGTTAAATCCCCCCTACCTAGAAGATGTGCCGGGATTGGTCCTTTTTCAGTCACCGCCTCTCCATATTTTTCCCTCAATTTGAACCTGACATAGGCGTGTATTTGCAAGTATAGGGGTTTCAGCTGTTCCCATAGCGATTCGATTTGGCTTCTAAATTGAGGATCCTCGTAATTATCCAACCAATTTTCGGCATTATTGGTGAAATTGTTTAATTTGGCGGCCTCATTGGACAAATCGACGTATTCCTCAAACAAGACTTTGCAATGAGGACCAACAGCGTTCCTCCATTCGACCCAAACGTGTTTCAACTCGTCCACGTTGCGTGATTTTGCCAGAATTTCAGTTAGATGAGGTTCGAGGGAGAGATCACATTTTGAGGAGTTGTGAAAGTCGCAGATTTTTGCAGTGGAGTAGATTTTTTGCATTTCGCTGATGATTTTCTCGAGCCGTTTGAGTTTGTCTTCGGGGAGAGCGTCGGAACCCAATTTTGAGTATTTCTTAAATTGCCGTTTGAGGTCGGGGTCGGAGAAGGTGTGCCAATTGAATTTGATCACTTCTTCCCAGTCTTTCTTGCGCTCTTTTGCCAATTCGGCACTCACAGCCAACTAGATTTTTTTTAATAATAAAAATCGTAGTATACTATTTAGTAAAGCATGTATAAACTTTGTTTTTACATTTTTTTTAGTGGCATTGGTAATATAAAGTCCATTTCACGTTTATAAGAACGTCACGTCAACAGAAATTAAAATAAATAAATAATATTAATTTACCCTAGTTTTTTTCTTATGTAGAATTTGTTTTAAATTTGTAAAAATCGATAACTTTTCTTAGATT